GAACTCTGTACCGTGTCTATGATTCCTAACCCAGCATATGCACTGAGAACTCTGTACTGACTCTATGATTCCTAACCCAGCATGATGCACTGAGAACTCTGTACTGTGTCTAGGATTCCTAACCCAGCATATGCACTGTGAACTCTGTACCGTGTCTGTGATTCCTAACCCAGCATATGCACTGTGAACTCTGTACTGACTCTACGATTCCTAACCCAGCATATGCACTGTGAACTCTGTACCGTGTCTATGATTCCTAACCCAGGATATGCACTGTGAACTCTGTACTGTGTCTAGGATTCCTAATCATAAGAAAACATCAGACAACCCAAGTATGGAGGATTCTAGAAAATAACTGGCCTGTATGCCTCAAAAATGCCACTGTGATGAAATCCAAAGAAAGACTCAAAAAGTGATGAAAGGAATTCCATGCAAGCCATGCTCCTGCATTTTCTGTTGCTATCTGGGCTTTCCTGGGACAATGAACGAAACACTGATAAGGTATGTAAAGTAGCCAATAGTAGTTTTCTATTAAGTTTCTGACTTTGATAACTGGACTGTGGTTATGTAAGAGGATTCCTTGTTTTCAGGAAATACATGCTGAAATATTTAGTGGTAAAAGGCAAGAGGCCCTTTACCTCTAAATATTTCTGTCTGTAACTCACTATTCAATATGTCTGTAACTTACTATTAAATGGTTCAGAAAGAAAAAATATGGAGACATGGGTACGGAGAAGGAGGGGGGAAAAGGAAAAAGCAAATGCGACAAAATATTAGCATTTTGGCAATCTGGGTTCTCTTCCTGTAACTTTTCTGTGAGCCTAAAATTGTATCTAAATTTAAAAAAATTAAGTTGGCTATAGACTGATTCATTTGTCAGCACTCATGGAACTATATAAATCTGTATGCTGCAGATCGCACATTGCAGAACATAAATTATACCTCAATTAAAAAAATAAAAGCTCATTCTAGATGTTTACCAAATGCTGATGAGTGAACACTTCAAGAATGGAAAACAAAGATTAGAAACTCATCCAGGACCGATCAAAATGAAGACTAACTCCATCCCTACTTTATTTTAAATTCAAAAGATGAAGGAACACCCATTGGTGTGACATGGTATCCGTGACCACGATGACTAACGGCTCCTGAGGTTTCCCGCCTCTGTGAGCCTTTGCTGCCTTCCTGCCGCTCTCCCCACGAGGGCCGCGGTGTGCTCACCTCGGGAACACAATTGGCTACACTCCCTTACTAAAAAGAAAAGCAGAAGCCAAAGAAGATGGTGACAATCTGTGAAGGGTCCACGCACTACCAACTCAGAAACCTCGGGGGAGGTATTTCTGCCCGTGCCCAGACCTAGAGCAGAAAGCAGCCTAGGACCCGGCGTAGAACCTAGATTAGCATCTTTCCAAGTATTTTAAAAGATTGTTACTAATATAATAAAAATAAAAATAAAAACCAAACCCGTTGCTCTCAGGTTGATTCTGGCTCATGGTGACTCCACGTTACAGAAGACACCCAAACTCCACAGGGTTTCCTTAGCTGTAATCTTTACAGAAGCAAATCACTAGGGCTTTTTTCCACAGAGCCACTGGGTGGGTTTGAACCACCAACCTTTCAGTTAGTAGCTGAGAGCAAACGGTTTGCTTCACCCAGAGACCTACTAATATAATAGTCAACTATTACAGTTGATTACTTTTTTTAACTACCAGTAAGTTTTTTAAATACTTTTCTTTTCAAAATCCTTATAAAACAAAACTGATAGAAGTCTCATACCTTGCTTTAGAAACTCCATGAATTCCCGCACAGTCTGCTCCACGTTGACTCCATGATACACCACAGGTCTGAAATTGCGGTGCTCAAATGAACGGATGAGGCGAACTGTCACTGTCACTTCTCCAGAAGCCATGTGAAGAAATTCCTGGGGCAAGAGATGGAACCACAGTGAATTATATCAACTCACAGTTAGGTACCATCGACTAGCCTGTGTTTGCACCACCGGCCGGAGGACACCAACCCCATCTCCTCAATGCTATAACTTTACAGACAGAGTCCTCCAAACCAGGCCAGATGCCCGGGCACCCAGGAGTCCCAAGCCACTCCCACATACCCACTGTGATCCTGGACAACTGTGTCACCAGTCACTGATGCTGTGACAAACAGAAAACCAGACAGAAGATGAATAAAAGTGACATAGGTGTGTGCGTCTCCAGGTGTGGATGTGCGTACGTACAGGGAGAAGCAGGGTTGCCGAGCCCAGATACACGTCACATACGTGACTGCTCTGGACTTCCTATGCTCAATTGGCCCTGAAATGCAATTACACTTACATGGAGTCAAGTACCAACGGATGCCATTTTTAAGCTCATGCTCATGAACGCTGCCAATTTCAGGTGTTAATTACACAGCATGCTTTTTCCCATCTTTCACTTATTATTTAATTTGAATTTGTATATGTCATCCTAAACTATGTACTAGTGCTATGTGTCAAAAAAAAAAAAAACAAACAAACCCATTGCCATCGAGTTGATTCCAACTCACAGTGACCCTACAGGACAGAGTAGAAGTGCCCCATAGGGTTTCCAAGGAGCAGCTGGTAGATTCCAACTGCCAACCTTTTGGTTAGCAGCTAAGCTCTTAACCACTTTGCCACAAAATGTTACCTCAATTAATTCTCTCCCAAATCACAAAATATTCATTTTAATTATTTTTATTTACCATTGAGTCAATTCAGACTCATAGCAACCCCACAGGACACAGCAGAACTGTCCCACAGGGTTTGCAAGACTGTAACCTTTATGCAAGCAGACTGTCACATCTTTCTCCCACTGAGAGGCTGGTGGGTTCAAACTGCTGTCCTTTGGGTTAGCAGCCAAGTGCTTACCCACTGCACAACCAGGGCTCCTTCCGAGCTGCATACAGAAGAAAGTCTTAAATGTCCAGTGAGTGGGACTGACTGTAAGGACTGAAGGAATTCACCAGAGAAGAGAGCCTTCTGGAGAAATCGGCAAAGGCTTCCTGGAGGAAGTGGGCATTGAACTACACACTGAAGGGTGAGAAGACAAAGGGGAAAGGCACCTAGCAATCAGGGTCCCCCCTGGCACTGTGGCACCCAAGGCCCTCCATGTTCTGGCTCCAGCCCGCCCTTGGCTTTGTCTCCCTCTGCACCCCTTTGCACACCACCCCAGGAAACTGGATGGACTAAGCTCCCACTCTTTCCAGTCTCCATACTTCCAGTCAGGCTGTCCCTTGCTCAAAAGGCCCCTCTCCATGGTTCTGAATGCTGGGATCCTAACCATTCCTAACCATTCCATTAAGTGCAAACACTTAATGTGCTGAGCTGCTAACCGAAAGGTTGGAGGTTCAAGTCTATCCAGACAGAACCCAGGAGAAAGGCCTGATGATCCACTTCCAAAATATCAGCCACTGAGAACCGCATGGAGCACAGTTCCACTGTGACACACGTGGGGTCGCCATGAGTCACGACTGATGGCAACTGGTTTGTTCTTTTTTAAGATCCACTTTTTTTTTAATTACTGTAGCTTTTTTTTTATTGTACTTTAGATGAAAGTTTATAACTCAAGTTAAATTTCTCATACAAACATTTACACGCATATTGTTTTATGACATTAGTTACAATCCCCACAATCTGACAGCACACTCCCCCTTTCCACCCTGGATTCCCTGTGTCCATTCAACCAGCTCCCGTCCCTTCCTGCCTTCTCATCCTGCCTCCAGACAGGAGCCGCCCATCTGGTTTCGTGTATCTGACTGAACTAAGAAGCACACTCCTCACGTGTATTATTTTTTCTTTTATACCCGTTTATTGTTTGTAAGAGTGAGCTTTGGGAAGGGTTTCAGTTCTGGGTTAACAGAGCATCTGGGGGCCATAGTTTTGGTGCTTCTCCTAGTTTCTGTCAGACCATTAAGTCTGGTCTTCTTATGTGAATTTGAGTTCTGCTCCACGCTTTTCTCCTGATTCATCCAGGGCTCTGCTGTGCTCCCCATCAGGGCAGTCACTGATGGTAGCTGGGCATGGGACAAACTGATGCATCTTAGATGTCCGCTTGCAAGCTTTTAAGATCCCAAACGCCACTCACCAAAATGAGATGCAGAACCTTTTCTTAATAAACTTTGTTATGCCAACTGACCTGGATGTCTCCCAAAACTATGGTCCCGCAGTTCCAGCCCCAGCTACTCTGTCCCTCAGAGTGTTTGGATGTATCCAGGAAACTTCTTAGCTTTTTCTTTGGTCCAGTTGTGCTGACTTCCCCTGTACTGAGTGTTGTCCTTCCTTCACCGAAGTTGATCCTTGTCATCTAGCTAGTGATTTCCCCTTCTCCTCCCTCCCCACCCTTGTAACCATCAAAGAATCCTTTTTTCTGTGTTTAAACCTTTTCTTGAGTTCCTGTAATAGTGGTCTCATATAATATTTGTCCTTTTGTGACTAATGTCACTCAGCATAACGCTCTCCAGACTCACCCATGTTGTGAGATGTTTCGAGGATTCAGCATTGTTCTTTATGGTTGCGCAGTATTGCATTGTGTATATGTACCATAATCTGTTTATCCATTCATCTGTTGATGACACCGAGGTTGTTTCCATCTTTTTGCTATTGTGAAAATGCTGCAGTGAACATGTGTGCATATATCTATTCGTGTGATGCCTCTTATTTCTCTAGGATAAATTTCTAGGAGTGGGATTGCTGGATCGTATGGCACTTCTATTTCTAGCGTGTTAAGGAGGTGCCAAATCATTTTCCAAAACGTGGTTGTACCATTTTACATTCCCACTAGCAGTGCATAAGTGTTCCAATCTCTCCACAACCTCTCCAATATTATTTTGTGTTTTTTGTATTAGTGCCAGCCTTGTTGGGGTGAGATGGTATCTCATTGTAGTTTTGATTTGCATTTCTCTAATGGCTAATGATCCTGAGCATTTCCTCACGTGTCTGTTAGCTACCTCAGTGTCTTCTTCGCTGAAGTGTCTGTTCATATCCTCTGCCCATTTTTTAATTCGATTATTTGTCTTTTTGTCGTTGAGATGTTGCAGTATCTTGTAGATTTTAGAGATTAGATCCTTATCGGATATGTCATAGCCAAAATTTTTTTCCCAGTCTGTAGGTTCTCTTTTCACTCTTCTGATGAAATCTTTTGATGAGCCTAAGTGTTTGATTTTTAGGAGCTCCAGTTATCTAGTTTCTCTTCTGGTGTTTGTGCATTGTTAGTTAGGGTTTGTATACTATTTGTGCCAGGTATTAGGGCTCCTAGCATTGTCCCTATTTTTTCTTCCACGATCTTTATCATTTTCAATTTTATATTTAGGTCTTTGATTCATTTTGAGTTACTTTTTGTACATGGTGTGAGGTATCAGTCCTGTTTCTTTTTTTTGCAGATGGCTATCCAGTTATGCCAGCACCATTTGTTAAAGAGACTGTCTTTTCTCCTTTTAATGGACTTTGGGCCTTTGTCAAATACCAGCTGCTCAAAGGTGGATTAATTTATGTCTGGATTCTCAATTCTGTTGCACTGGTCTATGTATCTGTTGTTGTACCAGTACCAGGCTGTTTCGACTACCATGGCAGTATAATAGGTTCTAAAACCAGGTAGTGTGAGGCCTCCCACTTGGTTCTTCTTCTTTAGTAATACTCTACTTATCCAGGGCCTCTTCCCTTTCCATATGAAGTTAGTGATTCGTTTCTCCATCTTGTTGAAAAATACTGTTGGAATTTGGACCGGGATTGCACTGTATCTGTAGATCGCTTTGGAGAGAATTGACATTTTCACAGTGTTAAGTCTTCCTATCCCTGACCAAGGTATGTACATCCACTTATGTAAGTCTCTTCTGGTTTCTTGCAGTGGTGTTTTGTAGTTTGCTTTGTATAAGTCTTTTATGTTTCTGGTTAGATTTATTCTTAAGTACTTTATCTTCTTGGGGGCTACTGTAAACGGTATTGATTTGGTGATATCCTTTCCAAAGTTCTCTTCATTGCTGTGGAAGAATCCAACTGATTTTTGTATGTTTATCTTATATCCTGATACTTTGCTGAAATATTCTATTAGTTCCAGTAGTTTTCTTGTGTAGGTACTCATTTTAAATATGAGGACTCAGAGAGACTGCATAAGTTGCCCACAGTCACAAAGCTAGTAAATAATTAAACCAGGACTCAAGCACTGGTTTAATTCTAAGGTCCATGCTCTTTCTAATACACTCCCTGAAAATCACCCCAAATTATTTCCTTCAAAAAATCTGCAAAGTTGCCAATGGTTTAAAGATTCAGTTAGGGTATACGTATATCCAGTAGTAGCTACTTCATGATACTTTCAGCTTCGCGTACAACTTTCGACCATAATATGCAATAAGAACAAATAATCAGAAAAAATCCCTGTAGTGCTAATAAACATAAGAAGTTCAACCTCATTAGTAATTGCTTTTGTTGTCAGCTGCTGTCAAGTCAACACTCAACTCATGGTGACCCCATGCATAACAGGATCGGCCTGCTTGAGCCACAGGATTTTCACTGGCTGATTTTTCAGAAGTAGATCACCAGGCCTTTTTTCCTAGTCTGTCTTAATCTGGAAGCTCTGCTGAAACCTGTTCAGTATCATAACAACACAAAGATCTCCACTGACAGAAGGGTGGTGGCTCCACATGAGGTGCACGGGCCAGGAATTAAACCGAGTCTCTCCTGCATGGAAGGTGAGAGTTCTAGCACTGAACCACCACTGCCCCCTCGTTAGTCACTAGGGAAATAACAATGAGACATATCACTTATCAAACTGACAAACGAAAAAATCTAACAAGAGACAGTGTTGGCAAGGGTGTAGAATGAGAAGGTAGGCATGAAAATGGGTACTACTTTTGGAGACAATTTGATATATCTAGTAAAGCTCAAGCTACACATACCATTTAATCCGATAA